GAGATTTTGTCCCTGTAATTAGTTATCTGCACTACTTGGGGACAAAGAAGACGAGTGCACTAGTCTGCTTGATATAAAACATTACAAAATTCCATGCAGGTCCCTTTAATCAAAGCTGTCAGTCTCAACTAGGCTGCTCTCTGCTCACTCTTGTTTGCACGAAAGAGTTTCAGAAGAATTCCCTTTTACCCCTTTCTTGTTTACTCTGAAATACAAAATAAAGTAACAGAATTTTTTTGAAGTGAAATTCTGGTTGTCTCTGCTATGTATCAGTCAAAAAATTTCACACATTTATAAGTTTCCTCTTGAATAGTAGTTAAAAAAACACAGAGGAAGGTTGGAGTATAATTACTGGGTTTTAGATGAATGAAAATTATGTTAATTAGAAGTTAATAGTAAAGATTATAGGCATTGTAATCCTTGCGCTCTAGTGAAAAGAATTACTCAGTATTTCACCGAGATTAAAACCTTCAGCAGATATCTTTATTCTGATTTTTCCTTTAGATTTATGTTTTGCCCTTGTGCCAGGGCCTTGATGTCAGAATCAGCTTTTGGATCAAATCTTCAGCTGGCATAAGGAATGTAGCTCCATATCATTTTACATTTATTGCAAGAAAGCAACTCATGGCAGTAAAAGAGTGTTGTAAGATATAGGAAAAATCAAAAGCTGTCATGAAAGTTTACTGAATAATTTTCAGTGCAAAGCTTGGCTGAAGCAGTAATGAACTGAAATGTCCCACTTACAGCTGCTGCAGTTTTTCATAGCAATGAAATTATTGTATGAAACAGATGCATCTGTAGTGACATTGCTAACACCGATCTCAACTCTGTCACAGTTGTGTAAAGTAGCAAAGTTACAATTTTGCTTATTGAAGAATTTGGAAACCTAAAGTGAAGCTAACAGTAGTTTACCTAAATTGTATGTTACAACTTCATTTTTTATATTAAATATGTAATTGAAGTGCTTTATGTACTGTTTATCACTGCAATGAAAAGGTAGTCAGAATGAACTTCTCTATGCTGTTAAACTGCCTCTTATTAGCATTGAAACTATATTTGCAGCACATTATCTTAGACTAATTTTTTTTTGTATAAGGAAATTGCCATCAAAGCATAGTTAATCTGAGCTGAATTAGATTATAATTGGAGTCCTTATGAATGGGGATTTAAAATTATTCTGTATTGTCACAGACTAACAATACATTATTAGGATATTAAAAGTAGTTGGCAGCAGTATCATAAGAGTACCTTTCATATTAACATTTTGTGCAGAGTTAACTTAGTTCATTTTTTTTGTTTGCACATGTTTCTTGTATCTTCTGTTATAATAAACTGCAGAAACATCAGTGCATTTAAGATTTTCCAGCTTTAAAAATGCATCACAGATTAAGATATAGCTTAAAAAAGGACTCTATCCAAAGCCTTTTGAAGTCAATTGAAAGACTGCGACTTCAATGAGCTTTGGATGGGGCCCACAATGTGCTTGTTGCAAAGTAACAGCTGTGCAGGCCTTTGTTTGCAGGAGAATCAGAAGTCTTATATTTGATGGTTGAGATACAGTGAAAAGCGAAAAAGAAGAAAGATGGAGGCAAAATAATACATAGCATTTAAAAATGGAAATGAATGCTGTTTGTCTTAATTAGGAGATGCATCACAAGCCTTTGGCTTTTATTTTTCAACTGAAAATATTTGAACAAAAAGCATCTGAAGAGGTCAGGATGTTTCTGTGAAGTTTTTGCAGGAAGGCATACGAGCACTGTCTTGCAACCAAAAGGGAGTAACATCTTCACAGCTCTTTCATATACAAATGAATGAGAATGGCATATCTACTTGACTTTTTTTATTTCTCCAACATGTATATTAGGGGTAGGGTGGGGGTTGGTTTGCTTACATCTTGCAGCAGAAAGAAGTACCAATGACTCAGAACTCAGTTTGTTAGAGAGTGAAATTCAACTACTTTTTCAAGTCATATATGATTACGTAGTTGGTAACCTTTAGAAGTAGTTAACATGGCAAACATTGGCATAACACAGTCAGTTCTATGCCCAGTGAGTAGAAATAAATGTGAGAAATCAACATTGTCAGATAAAATACATTTGAATGTCTAAATAGATGTGCCAGCTGATGCTTGCTGAAATCTTGTGTGCATATCTATCTATCTATCTATCTATCTATCTATCTATCTATCTATCTATCTATCTATCTATCTATCATCTATCTATCTATCTATCTATCTATCTATCTATCTATCTATCTATCTATCTATCTATCATCTATCTATCTCAATATCACGTTTAAGAAATACAGCTATATAAAGGTCATATACCTCTTGGCTGTCATTTGCTGTAGTGTTTTCTCAGGCTTGTTAATAGCAGAACAACAATGCATTTATTTTAACTTTTGTGTTGTAATAACTGTCTGCATTATTTCTGTTTTGCTTTATATACAAGACACTGCTGAAGAGGCAATGACAATGGCAAACACAGCCGTGCAACTGTATTTTGGGCTTTTGGTATATATTTCAGCTGAATGAAATTAAGAAGGAAAGGTAGTGGCAGAAAGGAAGAAAGGTTGAGCATTAGGACCACTCTTCTGCTATCAGAGGGAACACATGATATAATGGCTTAATAAAAGGATCAAGATCTATGAAATATATTTTTACCATCACTGCTTTACTTAAAGGATGGTTCCAGACGCTCCTTGCTGTAACCCCGTGAAATGCCTTTTAATTACCCAAAGAATTTTACTCTTGATCATATCAGTTTATTCTTCTGACAATCTCAGTTTTGACATTCATTCTTAGTGTTTATCACTACTGTATTTACTGATGGCAGCGTATACCCTATCTCAGCTTTTGTTCCATTAGGATAAGCAAAGAAACCCTTTCTAGCATTCTCCCATATTTTTTGCTTATTGCATAGCTGTTATCTTTATCTTTCGTAGTTTGAGTTTCCTCTACTTTGTCTTAGTGAGCATAATTTTATATATTTTATATTTTTGGTATTCCACATAAGATCCTACCAATATATAGTCTCTTCCCTGTCTACTCTGGAAATACCTTGACTGTAGCACATTTCCCCTGACTGCTTACATTTACCTTTTCTTTGCTGCATCACAATGGCTGTACGTAAGATACAGGAGACTTGTGCCTTGCAACACACTACGTGGCGGTCCTGGCCTTCTTGAAATTCTGACTGACTACCTATACAGACTACAGTTTAGATGTGACTAGTGACACAAATTTTATTAGCACATCTGAGGACTGAGAACAACCGCTACCCTGTTATTAACTCCTAACAAAAAAGTAACTTCAGATAAGTGCATCTGGCCCTTATGGCTGTAAAGAAAATCTTCTGAATGGTAGCTGAATCTACACCTATGTAAGGCCAAGAACGCTGCAGGCACGAAAGTACAGCAACTGTATAGATTCTTGTCCTCTTTTAATTTTTATTTACTATGAAAGCAAAGAATTAATGTCTTGATGGGCTCATGAGACTCGGAAATACTTGACTTTTGAAGAGTCCTAGGGGGTTTGTCCACTGAAATTTTACAAAAACAAAAGAAAATGTTGCCACTGCACCTCTTTTCACTGATCAAGTGTTAGTACTTTGTGGGAGGAGGCTTGTGCAAATCTTTATACGATGATATTTAAACATTTTGAAAAACTTATGCATTGAAATGAATTATGGAATATTCTTGGATCTTTCTTCTTTTCTGTGTACTTGCAACATCTTGTTGAATATCGCTACTCAATCAAAATCCCAAAAGTATATGTTAGAAGATGTATATACTTATCAGAAGCACAGAAGTAGTTTGTCTGGATAAATCAGCAATACAAATTTAAGAAAGATTGTACTGTGCAGAGCGTGCAATCATTAAAAACCCTTTGACACTTGGGGACTTTTGGTTAATGTTTTTATTAAAGAACAGAACCATTTCTTCATTCGTTACCTGAGCTGGAGAAGGAATATTAACTTTCCCTACAATTGCTGCAATGTTTCCTTAGATTTGGGAAATAAATCATATGCCATAACTTGCATTTCCTCACTTCTGGACTGACTGCTTCTACTCCTTCATGACTGCAGCAGCAAAGGGAAAGGTATAATGCAAAGCCTCTTCTTCAAGAGACATTTTAAAATATTATTTTCATGACAAGATTTTCTGTTTTCCTTTTCCTCACAGCTTTGGATGGCTAAAGATGTCAAAGGCAGGAATACTTTAATAGTTTTATTTGTTTCATGTTACAAATATCTTACTGTAAGTAGGTGCTGTAGCAATATGCTTCTAAGCTTTTTAATGTATTATCAATGTCAGCCTAACTCTCAGATAACTTCTCTGCAGCTAGCTAGGACTTGAAATAATGAGCTTCTTAGAGCACTGAATCAGAGCAAAAAAATAGAGGAAATTCCATTGTGAATATTGTACTTGTGAAACAGTCTTGGCTGCCTGTAATTTAGTAAGAGTACCAGGCACTTTCTTTGATCTTAATGTTTAAATGTCTCTAAAGAAAACTTTGTTTAGTTTTATTTTTTTTTCCCTTTCACACCTGAAGTTGTTTTCTTTGTTTTCCTGTAAAATGTTCAACAGAAAATTAACGTGTTTTGGATCAGGCACATGAGCATTTATTTGGCCTTGCATTATTTATTAATAGAATTTATTTATTTATTTTTTACTTTCTAAACAAGAAAAAAAAATCCTTTTTCCTGTGAGACATTCTCCAGTTGGATTAATACTGTTCATTGCTTATGTTCAGTGGGGAGACAGACATATATGTAAGCATCAAATAACTATATTCAATGGAACTTTAGGACATTCATAAATACTAAAACCTAATACAAAAGAAATTTAGAAAACAAAATAAAGTTGAGATGTCCAGGAGCAGAATTCAACATAATTTTTTACGGCAAACAGAGTTTAATTGACCCAGATGTGGCATTACAATACCCTGCAGAACAAAGTACAGTCAGCTAAGCCAACGTGAAAGGAATGTTCAGGGAGCAAGTGTGCCTGAAACAACATCATACTCGGAGAAACCTCTCCCTGCTCTGCTGCGGTCTGTCACTGCATAAGTTCAGGGTTTGCAGTACTCTCTTGTAGACTTAAATGTCCATGATGTCCTCTGTGATTTCACTATGGCTCTGTGTCTTTCCAAAAAATGGCAATATTAGTTACTCATATTTTGTACAGTAGTCTTAAGCCTAGAATCATTGCCTGACAATCAGGAGACATAGGTTGAAGAAGCTATAGGTTGTTTTTCTGGATTACTGCTAAAATAACATCCAAGACACACAACAAGTTCATTTGACTTCACATGGGTCAACTATTGCTGAGTTCCAGCTACCACTTCTAAATTTCATTTCAAAATCTTGCCTAGTATAATTTTTGGGGGGAACTTGGAAGAGAAGACACATGCATAACACTTAAAGGCACAATGTTCTAAAATCAAGTATTTTCACTGTTGAACATGATTACACTGACAACTTGTTTAGTGCTTGAGACTCTCACACTTCTACATGTATTTAAAGCAAGGAACAGCCATTTGTTTTGAGATTTGAAAGGGTTTTCTCCACATTTTTGAGAATGAAAAGCTTTTGATTCCTGTTGCTTTCATCACTTCATTGTAGATAATTACTTAGCAATTTTTGTCAAATCCTGAGTTTTGAAAAGTGACCACTGCAATTCTACTATCAAAAGACACTACTGAGTGCTAGAGGAATAGGACTGCTAATATTATTATTATTATGAAGAATTTAAATTAATAGGAATTATTATTAAAAGGAATGTTACTCAATGGGTAGATTTTCAGGGTTAATTGCATTTGTGCCTCAGTTGTTCACAGTTGAGGAAACCAAACACAATTCAACAGAAATGTCAACCCATTGTTTGATTTGGAAGAATTCTGATTTGAAATATCTCATTAGATTGACAGGCTGCTTCTTAAACAGTTTCTGCTTTGCTTTCCTGCATAGTAGAAAGCATACATGAGTCCTGTGGGCACATACGAAGGTTAGACCATATTATATCAAGATAACTAAAAGAAAGTGAACTGAAATCTGAAGTGTATTGCCTTGGTAGATTTTATAGAAAACAAGAATACACAGAAAATTTCTCTATATTGTCATTGAGTGAAAGGTAAATACAGGAAGAAGTGTGACAACTATACAGAGAATTATATGCATTAGTAGAGCTGATGATTTTTCTAATGATCTCTAAATAGAGAAGTAGGCTGTGTTTTCATCACTGCTGATATCAGACTGCTGGAACATTTGCATGACTATGTACTAATTATCACTCTAGTGCCCTACCTGTTCTTAAGCTGATGACACCACTCTTCTTTTCTTGTCATTGCACCTCATTTTTCTGTTTTCCAGGATGTATAAGTTCAAATGAAAATGGAGGGAGACATCTCTTTTTCCTTTATTGCCTACCAAGTAAACAAGAGTTTTTCAGAGCAATAATAATAATAATTTAATAAATATGTGTTAAAAAATGCTTAAATTCACGATGTTTGCCAACAGAAAATAAAAACTGCTTTCATACAGTTGTTCATTTCATCATCGGAAAAGTTACACAAAGCAAAAGAAGGATGCCAGGATGAACAGAAATTGTGTTAAATGTCTTGGAATTTAATAAAAAAAATCATGGTTTTCTGAGGATTTCTGTGGGTTTTGTCAAATTTCAACTCATAAATATGCTTTATGGACCCTATTTTGTATGTTCAGTGTCTAAGAACTGCGTTACAAGAGGCAACACAGGAACAAAGAAAAGGCTTTTGATCAGTCTGACTTTATTTATAGCAAGTAGTATTGACAGCAAACTAAGATTCCTTTTGTTGTGTTGTGCATTTTTCTACCAAACTCTGCCTCTATTTTCAATCTATGCAATTATCCCAAGGTTCAGGATAGAACTGCACTATATATACACTAGATAAACAGTGTTAATAAAGATTCAGGTATAGGATTATTTTTAGTGTTTTCAGTTAAGCTTCAGGGCTGATTCATAATTTTAGCAATGCATTCTTGTTAGTTAACTGTTTCATCAGTTTCCTTAGAGTTACAATCACTTCTATTCAACATTCTGTTCAGCAGTGATTTGGAATTCGTTTGTGATCAGACACATGGAGCCATGACAAAAAAAAAAAAAAGATATATTTAACATTTAAAATTTTCAGCAAATATTGTTTTTAAAATAATTTTTAAATTCCTTGAGCAGCCTGTAATTTGGAGGTGGTAAAAAAGTTGTTTAAGGAAAAAGATTTTGGTTTTAATAAGCTCAGTACTTCGATAGAAATACCCCACCAAGATTCTCAAATGAGCTGTTTCTTTCTAAACAAATAGATGAATGTGCAGATACCGATAAAGATGGAAATCCCAGGCTTTTTTCTGCACATATTGAACTCATGAATTAAAAGCATATCCCAAGCTTTCATTTAAATGGCGCGTTTCACTGAGTTTTGGAATAACTTCTGTTATTCAGATAGCACCATTATATGCTTTCCTGTGAATACTGAAGACTGGCTTTCTTTACAGAATGCAACCCACATTTTTAACACATTTTTAAAATAGTTCAATTTACCATGAGATGTAGCAGTTAGATTTAAGCCTTTACATTATTTGAAAATTGAAGATGAATAAAGGTCATGAGGGTTGGAAAATACCAAATACATACTACCAAATGAAGGCTGATGGTGACCCCATAGATCACTGAAGACAGAATAAATAATGGTTCTTTTGCAGCAGACCTCAACTTTAACCAAAACCAGACCACTCATTCTTTAACCAGAAAATGTGCAAGACATAGAGCTGCTACTATGTAATATTTAAATTTATGTTGACCGTCTTCAGCCCTTTTGTTAGACTCAGTTCAGTCTTAGAATATACTCTTGTTTTCACAGAAAAGGCGGAAAATCTGAAAAGGGGATCTCAACTAGAGAAGTTCTTTGGATTTCCTTGCTCATATTGAAATAATATCCATGGTGAAATCTGTGTTTTCCTTTACTTCTGAATGTTATTCCTATGACTTTTAGCTGCATGAATCCTGGCTTCCTATAGGACGTAGCTAAACATTTCTGCAAGTAACAGTATATATGAAGGATTTACACATATTAACATGTTTTATTCTGAGCCCAAATAAATAAAACCTTTTTAAGTCTAAGTTAGTTTTTATTCCAGTCTGATGACAGTTTTTCAACCATTCTAAATATCTTTCAAAACACCAGGACAAATGTACATTATTTTAGTGGGATAATAAGGCTAAGTAAATTCCCCTGTTCCAAGAGGTGAGAAATCTTGCAGTAATAAAAACATTACTGCAAAGGTTTCTCTCATTTGTTTTCTGTATTTTTTTTAGTTCTCATGCACAATCAGAATAAGTTTTCTAACTAATGGGACAGAATGAAACAAGGAGCATTGCTAAATGTAGGAAATAAGGATGCAAAACTTTGGCACTTTCCTCAATTCTGGAAAAAATTGAAATTAATTGTAAAGGGCAGAAAAATTGACTCTTTTTTCCATACACTTGGTAGAACACTTTTTTTTTTCTGTGTTATTTGTAGTACTAGCTATTTGGATCAATGGATTGCTAATTAGAAACTGACTTTGGAAGGCTGCAGCATGCTTCTCAATGATTCATGTGTTTGCATTGATTTTTGCATAAAAGCAAAATCTAGCTGTACTATTTAGCACTTAGAAATTGGTCCTCAATGAACTATTTGCAGCTTAATAGGCTTGATAATACTTGGAAGCTCATTATTGTGTTTTTATCATTATTTCTTGGATTAGACTGTATACATACACACATATGTATATACACACAACACTCAGTCACATACGGAGTTGTATTAAGCCAAAAGACAAGGTAGGCAGCAGCTTATGGCAGCAGACTGTAAGCTTCATCTATGCCAAAGATGGGGCCTGGCTTTCCAGGCTGAACAGCAGGTCTTTGTTTCCTGCTTTATACAGCCATCTTCCTCTCCTGCTGTTGCTAACCCTCAGTGAGTAAACAGGGTGTAACCTAGAGATGTGCAGATTCTTAGGGAAAGGACGGTCACTTTTCTGTCTGTCTTTCCTTCGGGAAGGTGTAGGAGAAATCCACGCCTTTCAATGTTCTACTGCTGCTAATCCCACTAAGAATAGGTCTTGCCTCTGTGGGAGAACAGGATGCTACAGGCCCTCTTATTGGGGAAAGGGTAGTAGATGAAGGTGGGTCCATGGGTGACAAGCAAAGGGTGGACAGCAAAAGTCCTGTGCTTCAGGGAAGTGAGGAAGAGGAAGATTACCCATGAAATGAGTCAAGCTCTCAGAAGTGCAGAAGGAGAGGAGAAGAGCTGTCACTACCCTGATAACACAACACCACTGAATCCTCACTTAGCTTCTCCAGCCTTTTTAGTCTTCTCAATCACTTTCTACCCAGAATATCATGGACCTTCACTGACCTCTGATTTTCTAGCTCCAGTCCTACTCCAGAAACCCCATTCTCTCCCCCCACAACCCATCTGTTCTGTCCGCTGAAGCCTCCTCTGAATCTTTTTAGCCTCTTTCTCCCATCTGCTGTGACCCATATTGCTGCTTCCATAAAACTGATTCTGCCTACACTGCTGAGAAGCCTTCAGCTGAGTTAGCATATACAATATGGATTGTTGGTGTCATATGGCCTATATATAAATGTGTCTATAAATAGATTTATTGTCTGATATGCAGCCAGCAGTTCAGCCAAGGTTTCTATGAACATTCTTAACCTTTTGTCCATGAACACTTGAAATATAAATATAGGCACCTGCTAAAGTTCCTTGCAAAATTAATATCCAGATGGTTAGTTACAGGATCTGTATCTAAGATTCAACTTCATTCTCAATCTGTGGACATATTTAAGGCTATTGATGATAGATCTTTACTTCCAAACCCATGAACTTGCTAAGAACAAGTTTTTGCACTTAACTGCCAAGGTGACCCTGACTATTTTATCATATCTTTATTTATCACAGCCAAGAGATTACTGGAAATTGTTTTTTGCTCTATTTTTCAGTTTTGAGTTAAATTTTGCCGTATGTAAAGCTGTATTTCTTCATGAGAAGTGGTTTTCAATTTAAAACTTGCAACACATCTGAACTCCGAAAAGGATAGCAATCAGATTGACCATTTAACAAATCTTTGAAGCAAAATACTGACATTGCAGTGAATCCAGCTTTAGTTTTCGACTTTAAAAATTATTTCTGCCCATTTCTTGTGACTAGCACAGAACATGCACTAATCCAGAACAGTATCAATTAACTACAGACACCCAACTGTAAGAGCTACTTTAGCAGACAGGTGGAATTGGACTAATTATCATACAAGGTTACACAGAAGGAAAAAAGACCTACGGTCTCTCCAGGAGAATTACAAGCCAGTGATGGCCCCCTCCCTTTGCTGCAATTATCTCCAAATCGCACCTGCCAACCTGCAGGGAAGCATTCCCATGGTTTGTGGCTGAGAACACAGTCGGGTAAACTGTTGTTTTAGTTGGATTAAAATTCTTCCATACCTCTACTTGTTTCAAAGAATGCTCTACTGTATCTGTTTCTGCAGATAGACACTAACAATATAAAGACACTAACAATATAAAGACACTAACTAAAAAAGACACTAACAATATAAAAATCACATTAGAAATTATATATATTTTTTTAATTATTTAATGAGCTTTAGGTTGAGATACCATTGAGAGATTTGTCTCAGAATGGTTCTTATAATCATGGCTAAACTGAGATGCCTTTCTACACAGATACAAAAATGTTCCTCTGTTTAGGGAGGCGACCAGGATCTAGACAGGGATCTGTAGAAGCATTTGTGCTGAATGAAAAACCCGCTTAGTTTGTAATAAGAAGTATTAATACAAGAGTGAAATTTCAAGGCCTGAATCTTTGGAGAAATAGATGAGATATCTAAGAAGCAGAATGTCACCTCTTTTACTTGGGATTCTCAGTGGTCTTAGGCCCGGAGCATAACTCATTTTTTCCTGGAGGTTGTGAGAATGCAGTTTTCTCTCACCTCACAAGTTTGTCATTCTGACTTGTATCTTGGAGAAGATGAGTGGTAGAACGTATGAGAAAGATCTCCATTATTTTTGTTAAGTACCCTTATTGTTGTTTTGTGAGTATAGTCTTGCTCACAATGGTTATATCTATTTAAATGTTTTTAAAGCGATGAGACATTTGAATCATTTGGATTAACTATCATTTGGATTAATCATCCAAATTTTTGTGGCAGATAATTTCTGATGTTAAGAATCCAATTCTTTATGACTGAGGTAAATTGCCAACAAGTCTTCCTGATGGTCTTTCAGATGGAAGAATCCAGTGTGTACAGATTATTTGAAAATGATAATTTTAGAGAAATTAGTTTGCATGAGTGAGAACAGAAAACATTGATTTTCTTGAAAGAAAATTGTGTTAATTGCAACTGCTCTCATTCATTGTGTCTGTCTGTCTCAGTACATGCAGAGACAGTGAGAGGGCAGTGCTGTATGCAAGCAGTCAAACTCAGTACATGGAGAAAGAAAATGACAGCAGCCATTTGTGTGAGTAACTTTCACATGATTGTGCTATGTCCAGTGTTTGAATCTTAGCTGTAGAGTCCAGATGGTGTCTTATGGAGAGCCAGTGCTTCAATCTTCAACACTGTTTCTACAGGTCTAGAGCTAAACCACTGGATTAAAGATTTGAGATTTATATTTGTGGTTATGAGATGGTCTAATGCACATCTGGATTCTGAGAAATGACATGTAGACATAGCTGCTATTATTCTAAAGAAGAATTATCAGAGGGAGAGTGAAAGACAGGAAAGATTAAAATAAAGAACATCCGATTTCAAATTTACTCTTGATAAAAATAGATTTAACCTCACTTATTTTTAGAAAATTATTGAGACACATTTTCATTGAAGCTTAATTGTCTTCAATACATTAATTTATTTTACAGTGATATTGTACACACTGCAATGTTCATGTGGTATGAACTTAAATATAAATATTTTCATTAATTGGATCCATGATGCCAGCAAATTTTAAAACCAATCTTACACTAGACGTGATCTTATCATCTCTGTTATATTGACAGATATCTAGAAATTGATTTGATTCTACAAGTAAACTATGTCAGTTATTTGTATCAGAAATGCTCAGTAGAAACACAGTGGTGTTATTGGAAAAAATTATTTTCTTCAGTTTTTGTGATAATGAGTTAGTTTAAATAGAAAAGATCATATCAGAGTAGGGGCTGGTTCTGTAATTTTATTATAGTATACTAAACTGTTATCAGGCCTTATATATGAATTTTTAGTGGTTTTGGTTTTTTTGGATATGGCGGATTTGCTGAAAAAAGTACAGTTGGAAAAGTGGCTTATAATGTAGGGTAGAGAGAAGCATACCTGGTAGTGTCATCATATCCCTTTTGGAATCTATACTGAGAACGAACTATGACCAGGATGATACTTGGAGCTAGGTCAAAGGTGAGAAAGAAGTTAATGATTAAGAACAACCAGGATTCCAGTTCTCATTTAATCGTCCTATTTAATTTGGCAATGTAGACATACCTAGTGAGGTTATGTCTGAGTTTCCTTGTCTTTGGCATGAGAATTAAAGATGAGAAAGGTATGATAAAGGTAAAGATGGTCTATATGGGATCAGCCACTGACCCAGCTTTCTTGTCATTCTTTTTTTTCAAGAACATACGGAAATTCAGGGTTCAGAGAGTCTTCATAGTCATGCCCCTTAGATGTAAGGCTTAGGGTTATGTTTAGAGTGCAAACTGCAGTGTAATAGAAAGAGAACCGATTTTGTGTTAAATGGGTTATTTCAGGTTCTCACAGCCTTGCCACAGCAAAGGATCTACCTCTGCAAAATATCATACTAGAAAAGAATACAACTGGCAGTGAGTTCCTGCAAACTTTTATGTTTACTGGATTGCTTTGAGCTGTAAGACAAGGTTTGGGCCAGTTCTTCATTTACCTTTTCCTACATCATTCCTCTTTCAACAAATCATAGTCAATTACAGACAGAATTTTACCAGGATATCTAGGGATTATCTTTCCAGATAGTGAGCTCATAGCTACTTTTTCAGCCAAAGGGCTAAAGTAACTCTTGTCACAGTTTTCCTTTAAGGAATCGGGATAGACCTGTTATTCAAATACAGGATCTCCCCTATGTTCTCCCTCTGCATGCACACAAAAATCCATATTTTCCTCTTGAATCCATGCTTCATGCCCTCATCCCTCATCTCTGGTCCTCCAGGTTTTCAAAATCTTCCCACCTGTTTCTCATAACATAGCATTTACACTTACTCCTTCCAATGTGTGAACCCTTCATGGTGAAGCACGTCGGAATAAACAATCACTTTATTGCTTCTTTGTGTGGATACAGTCTACTTGATATATATCCTCTGAAATGTATGTCTGTAGATTTATGGGAAAATAAATAAAACAGAAATTAAAACTGACAGCTTTGAAGTGATATGCTACCCTTAGCATATGGGCTACCACACACTAACACTTTACAGGATTTGTATCGGGATTATGGGCAGTAACTCAATGGGGGATAACTTCTGAACTATATTCCTAAATCTCATTTGACAGGTTTTGGATGCTGTATAATTCTTACAGTATTATTATGTCACACCAGTGATGCTGCAGTCGTCATTAAGGTAGTACCTTAATTCTTAGTGCTTACTTTGTCTTATAATTGCTTTTGCAGTGAGAGTTTGTATGTTTTTTCCAAGCGGACAAATGAACTTTCTTAAAAAAATTAAATGCTTCTTTCTCCAGCAAGACATGTTTTGAAGATCCAATTTCCTCAGAAATAGGCAGCTATATCTGGAGAGAAACAACAGCAACAATCCTTTATGTTCTGAGCTTTTAAATGTATACTAATGATTTGCAGTATCAGCTTTGACACCATTAAAAAAAAATAAGTTAGGAAGTTAAGATGTGTAAACAACATTATTTTTATGAGGATACTATACTAATTTCTTCCAGTATTGGTATACATCAAGGATCTTACATCTTTAGGGGTGTGAGTGAAAGATTAGGGCAGGTTCATTTACATAAGACAGAGAGCAGATTCCTTCTGACGTATCCAAATCCAAGACCAGTGGTTAAGTAATTTTTCTTGGAATACGGAAATAATAGCAATTTAACATGGAATATTTGTCTTCTGGTTAACCTGGTTGGTATTTCCTGCAGTCACTTTGCAATCATTGCAATTTACTGTTCCCCTCTTAGAAGTAACAGAAGTATTGAGGAGAGGAATGGGGTGAATATCAAAGCTCTTCAGCCAAAGCAGCCACAACCTGAAGAAAAAGCAGCAGATAACTTGAACTGAAACAAAGATTGCTTACTGTGGATCAAAAAAAGTCTTCTTTTCTGCATAGTTGTAATTGCATTTGCTGGCTTAACCTCTCTGATTATTTTTATACAATCTTTCTGAACAAATCAGGTATTGCCACTGATTTGGTGTCAGGAGAGTAGGACATATAGGAACTCTTTTCTGATAGGAGCCTTCATTTTTATTTGCTTCTACTCATTCTGTAAAATGCACCATGTATGTTTGACAGTTACTTGAGCCCCACGCTTGTGCTCTAGATAGACTGGGAATAGATTTGCAGAGTATATATAAGCTGTGCTTTGTACTGTTTGGAATACCTTTGTTCCAGAGTGTGCATTTCTGTCATTGTTAAAATATCCTACAAACATGTTTTTGCTTTCTTTGGAGACAGATTGTTACTTTCAAAGACTAGTAATAACTGTTTTCAAGCTATATGCTTTTATGATCATAAAATGGAATTGGTTCTTCACTCCAGATGCAATAATTTTATAGTTAGTCAATATAATTTATAGTCGATTTCAGTAAACATGAATTTATTTATGTTGGTGAAATTCCAGCCATTGTGCTGCATTACAGTCCAAACAGATCATGAAGCTCAAGCAGAAGGACTGGATGAGAATGAGGGAGAAGGAAAAGCAAATTTTCCCTGGTCACATGCGGTAGCTGAAGAACCAGTTCATGGAAGCTACACCCAAACTGAGCAAGTGTCTCTGCCAAGGAGAGACTAGGAGGTTCTGTACAACAATGAATACTCTAGGTCTTTGTGTATTCTTACTTTCTTTTCAGAGACATTGGCATATGGAGTGTCAGTGAATTTTAGCTGCCTACATTGGAGTCTACGCTAGTCCTGCAGGAATTCCTGTTGCACGTGTGCACTATATGCACATGCATATAATTCATTTTATCTTCTAGCCTTGTTTTATTTAGTTATGTAAGTATATTTTAATATATGTGAAAAAAGCGCATTTTAAAATATATGTCTCATCACAAAATAGTAAAAATGGCATATAAAGGGTTAATGGAATGATGAGGCAAAAATCTGCAGTGCCAGCGGAATTCCCCAAAGGGTAAACAAAACTCTTAACTGTTGCAAACAATAAATTGTCAATACCTTGTAGAAACAGTGGATAATGAAAAGTTATAATGCCTATAGTTAGTACCCTCTTTAAAAGAATTTACACAGGATATGAAATTAAATTCTATGCACAGTTCTCTTAATTTGCCCTTAATTAAACAATACTCCATAAATGGTGCATTCAGTGACCAAATGTTCAGAGACAGCAAAATGGTGGGTCCCAAGCCATTAGGAATGAAATAAAGTCGGTCCCCTGAGAGCCTGCTAGAATCTGGTCTATCTAAGTGACAACTGATGGTTTAGCAAAGATAATTAACTTTGCAATTACAAACCGCAGCTTTCACCAATGCTGTTTCTTTCAGTATTCTCTTCTAAATGTTTTACTATTTTTACATGCTTTTTAAAAATTCTGAGTTCATAGGGATCCATTTTTCCTACGCAAAAATAATTTGAATATTTTATTTTAAATATTTCAGATCAATAATTTTATGTGTAGTTATTTTATAAATTACAGAAGATAAATGTTATATTTTATATGACTGTCAAGACTTCTTTCTTCACTTTAAAGATAAAAGAGCCATGCTGCATCAAACAAATTTCATATTTTTCCTTTGGTAGCAAATCCTGGACCTAACAAACCTAAATTAAATTTGTTCTTTAGCCATGTAGACTGAAATTCTCTTCAGCACAGGGAACATAAGTTCTAACCTGATAAAAAATGCCTCCATTGAATGGGAATTGCTAGTTGAATCCATGTGTCTGTACCCTTGATTATCTTTACCATAATGTCTCCTAGTACATGAATTAGTGTATTTTCATGCTGGCATACATGTAATGAAATCTTCAAATATGCAATATGTTCATACTTACATGTACAAGCATTGGTATTTTGATATGATGTATTAGGGGATTATGAAAAAGCTTAACTTAGAGGGTATAATATTATGTTTGACTGTAGTGTTTTGTTGAGAGTGTGGATGTCTGTGTACTGAACAGAATTCCAGGTATGGATTCAAGTAAGGAAGAAGACAGAATCAGGACCCAAAATGCATGAAAAATCTATGTGACTTTATCTGCTGTGCTTTTGTATACTGTAGTATGCTGAACAGCACTAACACTGGCTTCAGAAAATCCCAGCTTTAGTGACCAAATTAATCTGGCATGCTATAAAGGACCAGTTCAAACTGGTAGCGATAAAAACACAAAGGGAAGGCCAAGGGCAAACAAAAGAGACTTCAGGGCCCTGGGATGATTGGTAGAGGTATCAGGGATCAGGTAGTAATTTTCTTTATCCTTCTGGTAACAAGGAGTAATATTGATAAAAATAGGCATTGACTCATCAAAGCAATGAGTGGCTCTGAGGTTGGTGTAACTGGAAAAAATTTGGGGTTTTTGACCATGGGATGATCTATTCAACACCTGGTCTACTGACATCTGATGGGGTATACCTTTCTCAGAGGGGAAAAGGAGTTTTAGTGCAGGAGCTAGCAGGGCTCCTTGAGAGAGCTTTAAACTAGCTTGAAAGGGGGAAGAGGACAAAACCAGGCTAGCCAGTGATGAGCAAGAGGATGATGTACCAAAACTCGAAGAAACCAGCACTAACAGGATCCCTCAATCTGCCTCATGAGGGGTTGGCTACAGTGTATCATACCTGAAATATTTCTACACTAATACACTCAGCATGAGGAACAAACAGGAGGGGCTCAAAGCTTTAGCTGAGTCACAGAGATTTGACATCACTGGCATAAGTAACACCTGGTGGGATAAGACCTGTGACTGGAGCGCCCTGTTGAACTGTTACAGACTCTTCAGGAGGGATAGGTAGGGCAGAAGAGGCTAAGGGGTGACACTGTATGTAACAGAAGGATTAGAATGTAGAATGTATAGAGCTCACAGAGGGTAATGAGAGCGTTGAGAGCCTCTGGGTAAGAATCAAGGGGCAAACAAATAATGTGGGTGTCATCATGGGAGACTACAATAGACCTCCCAGCCAGGACGATGATGCCAAGGAATAATTCTTTGAGGAACTGAGGGACACTTCCAAGTCAAGTGCCCTTGTCCTTGTAGGGAACTTCAACTTGCCAGAAATTAACTGGGCGCATCACACAGCTGGTACAACCCAGGCCAGAAGATTCCTAAAAAATCTGGAACAGATCCTAAGGGAGCCTGAGATGCCCTCCTTGATCTGCTGCATGTCAACAGGGTGGATTTTGTGAGCAAAGTGGAGACTGGTGGCCGTCTTGGCCACAGCGACCACAAAGCAATCGAGTTTAAAACTCCGTTGACAGGAGGAAAAGTGCCAGCAAAACCTCAACTCCAGACATGAGAAGAACAGACTTCAGGTTGCTCAGGGAATTAGTAAGGTCCCCTGTGAAAATATTTTTGCAGGTGCTGGAGTCCATCAGTGCTGGTCACTTTTCAAGCATCACCTCCTAAGGACACAGGAGCAGCAATTCCCAAATGTCAGAACTCAAGCAGGTGAGGCAGAAACCTGGCTTGACTGAACAGGGTTTTTCTCTTGGAAATAAGGCAAAAAAGGGAGTGTATCCCCAGTGGAAACAAGGTCAGGTGACATGGGAAGAATTCAGAGATGCTGCTTACCACAGTAGAGAGAAAGTTCATGTAGCCTAAGCTCAGCTGGAAGGGAAGCTGCCAGAAATGTGGGCAGCAATAAAAAGAGTTTTTTCAAATACATTAATGGCAATTAATGTATAGAAACATCATCAACCCATTACATGATGAGGATGGTCACCTCACAAACAGAGACAGAGACAAGGCAGAGGGGTTTAATGCTTTCTTTTCCTCTGTCTTCCATATGGATGAGGGACCAAGGGTGTCTCAGCACCCTCAGATGGAGGATCATGACTGTAGAATGATCTACTCTCAGTTGACCCTCACAATGTGTGGGATCTACTGCTCCAGCTGGATCCCTTCAAATCCATGGGGCCCAGTGGGATTCATCCCAGAATCCTCAAAGAGCTGGCTGATGTCATCACAAAACCTCTCTCGATTTTTGAGCAGTCTTGGGAACCTGGAAAGATCCCAGCTGACTGGAAGCTGGCAAACATTGTCCCAGTTTTCAAGAAGGGCAAGAAGGAGGACCTCAGAAACTATAGGCCTGTCAGTCTCATTTCAGTGCCTGGTAAAGTTATGGAGAAGTTTATTCTGGGAGGTATTGAAAAACATCTGAAAGACAACATAGTCATTGGTCACAGCCAGCATGGATTCATGAGAGGAAAGTCCCATTTATCAAACCCAATTTCCATTTAGGACAAGGTAACTGCCCTAGTTGAGCAGGTGAAGCCAGCATATGTAATCTTTTTGGATTTCAGTAAAGATTTGATACTGTCTCTCACAGGATTCTTCTGGAGAAAATGTGTGCTGGATAAACACATCACACGGTGGGTAAGCAATTGGCTAACAGGTCAAGCACAGAGGGTGATAGTGGATGGGGTGACATCAGACTGGCAACCTGCAACTAGTGGAGTTCCATAGGGCTCCATCTTGGGCCCTGTGCTATTCAACATCTTCATAAATTACTGGGATGGGGGACTAGAAGGGATATTAAGCAAGTTTGCAGATGACACTGAGAGGAGATGTTGACTCCCTTGAAGGCAGGGAGGCCCTGCAGAGATAGCTCGACAAATTAGAGGACTGGGCAATCACCAACCATGTGAAGTTTAACAAAGAGAAGTGCTGGATTCTGCACCTGGGATGGGGCAACCCTGGCTGTATGTACAGACTAGGGAATGAGATGCTGGAAAGCAGTGCAGTGGAAAGGGACCTCGGGGTCCTGATCAATGGCAAGTTGACTATGAGTCAGCAGTGCCCTGACATCCAGGAGGGCCAACCATGTCTTGAGGGGCATCAGGCAAAGCATCGCCAGCCAGTCAAGGGAGAAGATTGTCCTGCTCTGCTCTGCACTGGGGCGGCCTCACCTTGAATATTGTGTGCAGTTTTAGGCGCTGCAATATAAAAAAGATGTTCACCTCTTAGAGAGTATCCAAAGCAGGGTAATGAAGATGGTGAAGGGCCTTGAGGGGAAGCCATATGAGGAGCGGCTGTTCAGCCTGGAGGAGACCTCATTGCAGTTCCAACTTCCTCATGAGATGAAGAGGAGGGGCAGGCACTGATCTCTTCTCTGTGGGGACCAGTAACAGAACCCGAGGGAATGGTCTGAAGTTGTGTCGGGGAGGTTTAGGTTGGATGTTAGAAAACATTTTTCATCCAGAGAGTGGTTGTGTGCTGGAACAGGCTCCCCAGGGAAGTGGTCACAGTACCAAGCCTGACAGGATTCGAGAAGCGTTTGGATGATACTCTCAGGCAAATGGTGGGACTCCTGGGGATGGTCATGTGCAGGGTTAAGGGTTGTACTTGATGATCCTTATGGATCCCTTCCAACTCACTGTATTCTCTGATTCTGTGATACACTGATTTAGTAGCTGAAAGTAAAATTTAGACCCTGCCTGAAGTGTAGCAGCTTCCTTATCATCAGCTGCAGACTGCTGCTGATGCCCCATGTCAGACTCTGCTGTAAGCAGCATAGGTCCTGGCCCTGTCTACTGTGGTGTCCCGTGGAAGTCTTCTCCTCCAATCAACTCATCATTTTGCCCATGTTCAGGGAAAGCAGACTTATCCCTCTGTGCCACCATGGTAAGTGATAAGAACATTTTTCTCACACCCTTTGAGTTCAAATTGGAACTTCATCAGAAACTTCCTTGTTTGTACACACGTACAGCTGAGGATGCAACACTCGCAAATCAGTCACAGACTCTGAGTGGTCTGTAAGAGCAAATTATTTTAAATAACATATCTTTCTCTTACTGGTGCATTTTTGTGAATTTTGCTATGTAACTCCAATTGCGTTGGTCACATCTGTACAACTTTACATTTGTCATTTGTATGTAGTTAACCTTAGAAAAGCAAGGAAAATACTGTGATAATATCTTAGTATTTAAATTGCACTAGTTTTAAGTGACAGTTTTAGATTTTAATGACGAGCACTGTATACTAATATGTAAATTTGTAGATTGTCAGGGAAAGGGTTGTTATTGCTGATAACTCGTATAAATTTTGTTTCCTTAACTAATCTTTGTTCATGAATATGCTTAAAATATTCAGCTGTCTTGTATGTCCTTTTGTCCAACTTTGCCACTTGTGAAGTGATACACACATATGCTTCATCACAGTTAATAGTTCAAGCTTATCAGAGGGCTTAGCTTTTTAAGGTAGTCTGAGAACATGTATGAAAGGAATCATTGCCTTCAAAATCCCTGATATTGGCCTCAGTGATTCTTATAAGGGCTTCTGGATGTTGTATTGATACTTGCGTTTAAAATATTTTTCCACTGGAATGTATTGCAATTCTCTATAGTAAGATTTAAAATTCTTACTGCTGTGCATAACACAAGCTGCAGTACTATTTCCCTGTCCTTCAGTGTTGTTACCTCTGAAAACAATACACAGAACTAGAGAAGGACTATTGTAATACAGGAATCAGTAAAGACTCTCTGTTTGCAAAGTACCAGAATGTTTGTGCTTTTAAAAATTAATTATTCATATAAAATGCATGTAATAATTGTCAAACACTGTCTGTTATTTTAAATTTAGAAGCAACTTAAGAAATTACATTATCTAAATTCATCCAAGGTTAATAAAAAATGGAAAAATTGAGAGATCTATGGGAAAATTCTGTTTATATATCTGCAGTCCTATAAATACGAAGAGGGAAAATTATACTTCTTTTTAAAAAGAATTAACTTTAGTTCTTGTCCATTCTTTTTGTGCATTTCCCCAAGATTTTCTAATATGCTTTAGTAGTTTTACTTCTAGATCTTAGTTTGGATTGATGCTCCATATGGATTAAAAAACAGATAGTAAGAGATGGATTCACGTTTTCAAAATCATCAAGTGATTTGAAAGAAAAGTGCTTCACAGTGTTAAATTCCAACAATTTGATTTGGCTGTTATTGTGGAACCCTGGTATCCAATACTGAATTTCTTCAGAGAGGAAAACTTTATCTCCACCCTCTTTTATGATGTGTGATCCAAAATGCCAATCACTGGGAATGGAATACAATTATATTCACTAATATGTCTAAAATAGAAACTCTTGCTGTCAATATATACTCATTAGTACTGAGTTGCAAATGAATTCTGGAATTGTGCTCTTATTAATTAGGTGGCAGACTAGAAAACTTCCTTGCTTCTGTTTAGCCAGATGGAGGGACAGTGGGTGTAATGACCTATGTTGGGCCTTTCCCAGGGGATTTCTTTGGTGTTTCTTGGTGTCAGTATGGGTCCATCTTCCATTTGCCATTTAAAATAAACAGCTCCAAACTTGCACAAGTGTACACACTTAAATTACATTCAGAAAAAAACATGGTAATTTTGTTTAGTTTTAAAATTAGTCATGCAATCACATTCTTAAAATTCCAGAGGGAATTGGACACACACAGATTCAAGGTGAAATAGATTTTTTAGGAAAATGTAAGTCAGTCAGCCTTTTTTTTCCCTTATTACGTTAGTCTGCTGCATAGTCTATCAGTGTAGAGAGGTTTGGTTTGGCAACTCACTCTCATTCTGGTCTTTTACTATTTTTTTGCCTTATGAGTTGCTTAGAATTCTAAGAGGCTTCAGTGATTCAAAAATGGACTTCTGGGGGAGGGGAGGACCAGGGGAAGTTGGTGATCAGCCCGCATGAAAAGTCCCTAATTCTTTAATTGACCCAGTATATTCTAAAGAGTCATCAAGTTACTTAAATGTGTATCTTCATTAAGGGGTATGAGTAATACCATGAACTGAATGTAATTACTCATGGGCTTTAAGTTTTGCATGAATCAAGTATCATCCGGCATAGTACCCTACATGAGGAAATATTTGTTAAGATTTGCAGAAGATACTTCAGCTTTGTCAGCATAAAAATAATTCTTTGAAAGCTCATAATTAATTTCAGATGTATAAGAA